GGGGGGGGGATGAAAGGCCTAGGGGGATGGAAGCAATTGCAAGAAATGGATATTCTGATTAGCAACTAGTGAAGAATACCACCATCAGTAATAATTGTCTTAGAGGAACACAATCCAAGTTGTACCAGACATTCTGAACTGAAACAGCTCAGTGGTTAAATTAACACGTATCCACCTGTTCATCCAATATTTTCACATATGCCCATCTTTTCTCTTTTGAGAGGATAAGGATGGTTGAGAAGTTTTCCAGTGGCCTCTGCATGTAAGCTATGCCTGGATGATTAACATCCACAGGCATGCTGAGACTTCTATCAAGGATAGTAACTTCAAAGGTGCACTGTAAACATGCTTACTAAGGAGTAAACCCAATTAAGCACAGTATGACTTCCTTCAAAATAAACACACATCTTTTGAATGGCTGACAACATCGGCTGCAGTATTCAAGTACTCAGCTCAATGAGGTGCCTTTTTCTTGCTAAAACTGTGAAACTATTATTTTAATTGTGTAAACATTTCTTTATCAAACTACTCATCGTTGTTGACCTCCTAAATTAATGCTATTAATAAAGGTTGAAGGCTTCTTTGAAAACTGTTATATTTGGCCTTCTCCATTTCAGCAGCAAAGGGGGATGGGAGAAAAGATAAATCAAAGCCTTTCACAAAATACCAGTCCTAACCGTTTAATTACATACTAGGAACCAGGCCAAGTTTTATTCTGACAACACGAAAAGGAAAACTGGTAGAATACACAAATACCTAAATTAGCGAAGTTAATTAAATTTACAAATGAGCATGCTTTGAAATGCTAAGTTATCTGAATAACATTTGGGGGGCAAAAATATGTCTGAAAGGGAGCATTAAAGTCACAGAACTGTCATCATGCCCTATGGTTCTGAATGGGTGAATTGCAGGTGTCTTTGGCAGATAGGCCCCAGTTTATATGATTCTGGAAATTCCTGAATGCCTAAAAGAAGCTGAAACAAGGATCCTTTCTGCTTTTCCTGTATATCTCATGCAGTAGCAGCAATTTTGTTCACTAAAAATAAGCAGTCCTCACAACTTGACAATGATGAATCTGTTCAGTTACTGCTCAAGAAAGGCCTGATTTGCATTGCGCAAAAAGAAAGCTAGAAGAAACTCAGACCGCATCCTGCCTTTAACAATGCCAGGTCTTTTATAGTAATGCCACTTTTCATTTGTTACTGTCATTTTTAAACAACGGTTAGTTCAGCTGGACAGAGCTCTCATTACCAGAGATATTTTTGGCCAAAACATGGAAAAGCTAATAAGACATCTTGACTCGTGTAGTTCAATATCTGTCATGAACTAAAAAGTTCAGGCAAATTGGTCTCATTCCCAAATGCCTAACATGATTATTTCCTGCTGATCTAAATTGAAACTTGCAGTTGTGCACAAACAGCTTTGCTTTCCAGGTTCTATGCTTGGAATAAGACCACTTCCCAGAGTCATACACTATTAGCATACATTTATTTTAGCTATTTGAATCGTGTGAAAATTGCCATGGAACAGCGCAGCTGACACCTTTGGATTAATAAATTATTGGGGTCTGCCATCACAAAATGTACATAGCTTCTGCGGATGGGTTCTTCATTTGCTTGTGGTCTCAGACTTATACTTAATACAGAGCAGGAGTTTATTTATTTATCTGCAGTATTTATAAGCTTATCTGCAAGATTTATAAATTGCCTCAATCATTTGTTTAGACTCAACTTTGATACGGGATGTGTGTGGGATTCTTTTCTGCTTCCAGTTTTCTTTTTGACCACTCCTACTAAGGATGGAGGAAAGCATTTGAAAAAGTAGGGACAAAAAGGCATGTGAGAAATCTGTGACATCACATCTGGGAATATATGGACACTAGAGCTACTGTTGGATTCTGCTATATACTTAGTGTGAGACCAAAATGAGTACAGTCCTGAAAGCATGGGGATGAAGACATGACATTTATATTACCAAACCATATAAGTATGTGACTATTTTATTAACTACATTTCCACTGTTATCAAGAGGCAAGGCTCTCTGGGTGCCTCATAAAATTGAAGAACCTTACAATAAGTATCATCTGAAGTCTAAAACAGGCATGGATAAAATTTAAATTTTAAACAACAACAATATATAAGAGCTGGAGGAGTTAGAAAATTGAAGAGGTTTTTTCTATGGTCAAAGCACATTTCTCCAGCATGGGTATATATGTAAGAAACATTCTTTCTGGGAAACTGGCCATCATCCAATTAGCATTATCATTTACATGGTTTTGAACATGGTCTTCCCTGAAAGGTACATCCAGTCTTCTTTGCTCATTTCAGAAGCCTATGAGACTGAAGGTAATACAACTATAACCAAAAGTTGTAAAACCACTTTTGTGCATTTTCTCTGTCATTTATTTTTTTATATTCCAACTAAACAATTCAAACTTTGGTTCAAATCAACTGAACTTTGCCCATTTTTTTCTTAACAGCAAAGAGAACACTATGCCCATTGCACTGCTCTCTGAAGTGTGTGCAAATTGTGTGAAACCTAGGCCACTGCTGTGCACCACAATGCATATTCAGATAACTTGAAGCCTATGTTATTTGTATCAGCTGAAAACTTGTGTCAAAATCTACCAGCAGAAATCCCAAGTGTTTTATGTATTTATTTGATTTGTATCCCACATTTCTACTCAAGCAATTATTCAAGATGGCTCAAGCAATGTGACATTGTGTTAGACTAGGCCTAGTTAACTTCCAAGCTAAGACAAAGCAACAACAAAAACAAACCCAAACTCAATAACCTTAATTCCTTTTGAATCCTGTATTCTAAAACAAATGAGGTTAGGATGCAAGGAAGTCATAGCCAGCTTAATATCCATAAAGTTAACCCCCTATCAATTTTGGCACCTAGGACTCAGTTCTTAATTTCCAATTCTTATCTTCAGCTGATTCTTCCATCCCAGAACATGCATTTCATTTTATTTTCATTAGAATATGACCACAAAAATGTACGCTGTTAAGGAAAAAAGTAAAAATAAAACATAGATACACACAAAGCAATACAGGCTATTATTTTACAGTGCAGTTCATTTTACTTTCATTAGAATATGGCCACAAAAATATAGGCTGTTAAGGAAAAAAATAAATGCATAAAAATGCATAAAATAAATAAATACATTAAAATACATTAAAAATAAAAAATACAGACTCTTATTTAACAATGCAGTTATATACCTATCTTCTCAAACTTAAGCTCTGTTCTCCATAGGATTGCAGGCTTAGATAATCCCCCTATAGTAGAAGAAACTTTGACCCAGATTTAAAAGATTTTTCTTTCTAAATGCTGCTGGTCATTTTATTTAAAAATAGAAATGAAGGCAAGGAGGAGGGTTGGAAAAAAACCAGAAACACCTAAGGAGACAAGCAATAGCAGGAAAAAATGAAGAGAAATAGAGTATGGAAGTTGTGGATAGACCACAGGATTTATTTTCAATGTTCTTTTTCAAAAAGATAAATCCATTTCAGCTTCTTTTCCTAACAGAGCTCATATACTGTACAGAGATTGGATAAAGAAAAAATAATCTTCTCTATACTCTGAAAATGTGGCACTTAGGAAAAAGCATAAAAGGAGAAAGTATTTAATGAACTATGAGATTCATTATTACAGATCTGAAAGTTACTCTTACGATATCATTGAGAAAGGCAAAGACCCAAAGTTCAATTGGTTGTAATCAGTCAGTTAATGAAGAAATCAATCCCATATAATAGATAGTTCATGGTCATTCTTCCATTCAGAGAAATAAGTAGCTAACAGTTTTCATCAGTCTGGAAATCCAAAGATGTTTTACTTTAATTGTACAAAGAGAGGATTTTAAGGGCAGCCAGGCCTGAATTAGGGAAAAGCAATGTAACTATCTGGAGAATCAGCTCTGGAAGTGCTTGGATTATCTGTTTAAATCTACTTAACAGTCAACATAAATAGTACAAACATTACAAATAGCTGGCCACACTGGGATGACTAGTAGTGTATTTATTATTTAATGATCTGAAGGAAAATTTGCAACATTCAGTCAGCCAATACTGATTACAAACTTTTTTAATATATAAAATATAGATGAATGGAGGGAGATTATCAGTACAAAACTATCTGGTCAATAGTCAGCCTGAAGACGTGTGTTCACAAAGGGTTTAAAAGGGACATATGTCCCATAATCCAGCAATGTCTCATTTTCCCTTTACCAGGAAAATCTTCAAATTGTTAAAGGCTAGATGAAACATTTTTGAGTTTATATTTTTCCCAGTCCCCAACACCACCAGGAATCTTATAGGT